CCCCAAAACCCCAAAACCCCAAAACCCCAAAACCCCGTTGCCACATTTCAAAATTGAACCATTTTACTTTTCATCGCATTATTATCAAGGTAACTTTTCTTCAATATCTTACTGGTCTTCTAATCAAATAAGCCAAATTTCTCATTTTCACTAATGAAATCAATAAATTTGGCACCGATATAGATATTATCAAAATTCTCATCTTTCTCTACCAACCCAATAATTTGCTTCTCTTTCTCTGTAAAGTTAAGAATGCCAGACATAGCAAGAAGCATCTGCCTCTGAATAGCAGGGTCGTCTCCATGACGAAGGTATTGGACCAAGAAGGTGTTAATCATGGCACTATCTACAAGGTTCTTTGACTTAAGGTATTCAAGGGATTCTTTCTCTATCTTCTTGGTCATATTCCTCTCCATCTCTTTATACCTGCTCTTCAGGTCAATATTCGCCTTACAGAGCTCCTCAATCTGGACTTTGTATTTCTCTACCATTTCTACCTTTGGCAAGAGGTCTGAGAGCTTATCCTGTACAGCTTCGTACTTCTTCTTGTAATCTTTGTCTGTATTCTTGACGATAGGCTTCTCTTCAACTTGAGGTAGCTGAGAAGACTCATTTATCTCATCCAATGCTTCTTGGATATTCTTGTAATCTGCTAAAGTCATTTGAATCTCATGCTCTTTTTGGTCGATCTCAGTCCTTAATTTATCATTTTGAGCGAGTGCGTCATCAAGTTTGCTCTCAGTATCTAGAGCTTTCATTACCTTAAAGTTCAGGCCTTCAATGAGCTTTTCGTTCTCCTTGAGCTGGTTAGTTTTGAGGAGTAATTGCTGCTTATACTCCTTACTTTCCCTAACAATGGTCTCAAATCTTTCCTTAGTCTCTTCAAGCTCTTCAGCAAGGTCATCTTTCTCCTTCTTATATTCCTCGATTTCTCCAAGTTGCTTAAGGTCTTTTTCTATTTCTCGAATTCTTTGCTTTGAGTGAGCTTCTCTTTCCCTGAGCTTGGTGCACTCATCTTGCATAATGGACAGTTGCTTCTGGAGCAGCTCTGCTTTATCATGATCGTTACTGTTCACCATGTCGTATGTTTCGTTCACATTAGCAATGAAGTTATATGACTCATCCAACGAGACTATCTTCTTCAGAAATTGTAAGGAATGAGCCACTATTTGTAAAATAGGCTTGAACCTCTGCTTCTCATTCGCATCTAATTTGTTGAATAAGGATTTAAAACTCGGGATATTTTTGTCAAGATTATTTAGCACTTTCTCATGATCCATGAGGATAAAGTCCCAAAATTCCTTGAATTTGTTGATTGTTTCATCAGTTGAGGTCGAGTGTTCGACAAGAATATCCTTGTTCTTCCTAATCTCCTCAAGTTCTAGAAATGTAAAGGAGGTCTTACCTTCATTGAGTCTTGAAATCTTCAGCTTCTGTTCATCATTTTCCTTCTTTAATATAGCTTCGTTTCCCTTTAAAGCCTCGAGTTCAGCGATTTTCTTCTCTAGAGATTTTACTTTTCTGTCTTTAAGTATCTGATTTCTAAAGAATTATTAGTCAGTTTTACTCCAATTTATGCTTAAGGTCATCGATTTCAAGGTCTTGGTTTGCTACTCTTTCCTGAAGCTTTGCATTCTGTGCTAAAACAGCCTTAGTCTTTGCCATTGCAATAGCTTTATTTAATCATGCATATTTTTCCAAAGGAATCAGGATCTTTTCTGGTGAAAAGGTTGAAATCAATATCTTCCTTGAACTGCTTCAGCTTCTGACTGATATCGCTTAATTTCTTGAAATCTGTCTTGGAAACTTCTGCTTGAGATTTGTGAGGTTTGAATTGCTCTAATTTTCCTTCCAAATCCATTATTTTCTCAGTTAGCAATTTGTTAGTATCGGAAAGCTCAATAATTTTATACTCATTTTCTTTTATTAATTCCTGGTAAGTCTCGTCTCTCTTCCTAGCGTTCTCCAGCAGGATCTCGTACTCCTTGAGAGCCTCTGTGTCAGTCTAGATTGTTTACCAGAATGAATTACGTCTCCATCAAGTGTTTCAATATTCTCGCTAGTGTCCTCACTAGAGGCAAAATTATCACTAAAAGCACAAATCTTACTCATTATTATCAGAAGAGAGCTCATCTAAATTAGCATTGGCCTTCACTTGAGAGTTAGAATTGGTCTTCTTAATCTGAATATCTTCGACTTCTTTGAACTCTTCTCCTATAGCTATCAGCAGAGAATTACCTCTCTTTTGTAATTTCTGCTGAGATTTCTCCTTCTCCAATTCTTTAGAGGCATAATGGATGCCTTCATCGTAGTATTCCTTAGCAATTGAGCTAATAGCGCTTGCTTTCTCTGTAAATTTTTTGAAAAATGCCATTTAAACCAGCTAAATATTATTAACAAAATGGGGTTTTGGGGTTTTGGGGTTTTGGGGTTTTGGGG